AGGCTCAAGCCACTGATAAATGTGTGGAATCATAGGTGGCTTGAGGGGACCAGTGAGTGTAACTGTGCAGTGCGGGAATTATGATGATGTTAGTTGAATTCATCACGAATGGAGTTTAGTTGCGATAAATCTAATTTATGTCTACTAATCCTTTCTAGCAGGTGATTGCATTCCGATAGGTGGTGCGCTATGGCACTCAGCCAAGTTATTTGGTAGAGAAAGCACACTTACCAGATGTAAGTTCTTTGATGAGGTTAGGGCTACCGCTGGTGGGTATCTGTGTCAAATCAACCATAGTGATACGCTAGACAGTCGGTTGCACGCCACTCGATATCCACTAGGAGCGATTCATACAGAATGACTTTGGTCCACATATCCAGCAACATAAGTTGCTGAGGTCACTTATTTTTAGTTTAGGTGGTAAGTAAAGTGCGATGTTCGTTAAATGCAAACGGTGGTAACAATTGCTTCGTGCGAAATGTGGGCGCGCCACGCATCAGTTTCAAAAATATACGGTGTACCAGCAATTGTCGTCCCTTCTCCGCGTAGAAAGGGCATTGGAGACTTGCAGTGAAGCAGAACGCCTGGTCTGTTGCAAGCCCGCTAAGATGAGACCAGTTCATGTTGCTCTCTCGCTGAGATGAAGCGAAACACTACAATAAATTGGAATCGGGTAAGACAGAAAGAAGCCACATATGCAGTGTATTGCCAGGGAATCGTTAATATCGTTCCCGCACGGATACCAATCTAGCCAGAGGCAAGATAAGCTCCTAATAGTGACCAGTGAGTCATGCGTGGGACTGCTCACAAGCGATTACAACTTAGGACATGAGGATCCGTTCTTCGATCGTATCATCTGAAACCTCCGCGACTGCGGTTAACAGCAAATGGTTTACACTTTCGTAATCAGAAGCTGCCAATCTCGAGATTGAAAGCGGCAAATCAATATGTACAGAGATGATCTTTATGGCTATAGACAACTTGTAGTGCACGCGAAGTTTGTAAAGAGAATAAAGAGCAATATTCGTGGACTGTTGTCCTGCATGGAGTTTGTAATCTACTAGAAATATTTTCTTCTTCAAATGTTGAGTATGGAGAAGAGCACAGGCGAGATTAACCGCACTACCGGGCGTATGGCAGCTGCATGATTAAGCCATAAGCTGGCTCAATGAGCGGAATAGTGTCTATGGAGTCAATTATGCCATCTCCGTGGTAGTAAGCTGGGCGGCCTCAGATGTGGGGAGCATTATAGTAGTTATTAAAGGAAGGTCCCAATGCCATCAAATCCCAGCGACATAGGCAGCTAACACCACTTGGGTCATGATGGATACAAATTGGGCAGGTCTTAGAGGAGGTATTCGCCTCCGGTGAGCTCGAGATAGAAGAAACAGCCGCCACGTGTGCGGTGACTATGTGACAATGTTCAGCTGTGGTAAAAGTACTCCAAACTTCTTGTTATCATCCGTCTGTAGTTATACAAGCGCCCAGAGCTGAGGGAGTCTAATTTGCATCTTCCCGAACCAGACGCGCTTCAAACATGAACAACCGAAAGGCACTTGGCGTTAGTCATCATGCGCGTTAACAGATCTGAGTAGACTGGGCGCGAGTGCCGACAAAGTGCATAACGCCCACGAAGTTGACAGATAAACAGCTGGATCCAAGAGACGGCCAATCGTTCTTAGGGGCAATGGAGTACAATGCATACTTACTGGCTACACTGTAATTGATGTCGAAGCAAAGACTATGGAGGCCGTTCAGGCCCACGCGGAATGTGGCGTGTGGTACTGGAGTTGGTCTCGTGCATCAACGAGTATGATCGCAGATCACGTTACGTCGTAGAGTTAAGGACACTTGGTTAAGGTGTTCAAGATATTTCACCACCAACAACCTCCGGTGACTGCGAGAGATACCGCATCGAATACGGAACTCACTTGAAAGAGGGAAGTTTGCCCACTAAAAGTAAACAGGGGCCGATAATCATGATACGGCAGTCTGAAGTGCGCTAGCTGTATGCACCAATCCTTTACCGAGCCGAGAGCGAACCTCCAAGCCTACTGCCATAGCGGCAGTGGCTTAAACTGACGGAAAGGTAAATAAATTATGCGCCGTTGGAGATTCCAGACTTTTAGAAAAGCAGAAGTTACAAGTGGAACACAATCGTCGTAATTGTTGCATGGCTGCTGCCGCATCGCGTGTTCAAGCTATATGGGTAGTTTTGTATGGAATAGGGTGTTGAACGAAATATCGCAAAGGAAGCTAAAGGGGCTTTCTCTGAAAGGTCCCACTCCAGCTTAGTATGGTCACCGACCATTGATGAAAACGAAACACATTCATGGCGCAGGTAATTTGAATCAGGATGGTGGACTATCGCTTGGTATTCGGCATTCGGTGTATGTTTCGTCGCACTCGTTAGTTTGCAAATAATGTAGCCGAGCCAACCTCCCCATGGCTCAGTGGCTTAAGCTGCTGGCTAGTTGGCGACTGCCATCAGCGGTCATGGATTCGATCCCCAATAGGGGACCGAGGGAATGCGCACCACTGAGAAGCTCCAATAGAGCGAAACGCGTCTGGTGCGTTTCCGGACTAGGCTGCACTATATAGCTTGTGAACTACTGGGATGAACATCTCAGCAAAATTACAACTAAAATCCTGCTACTTGCGAGTAATATAAAAATTATTTTTATCTGCACCGAATGGTGGACTAGTTTCGGAGATGTGTAGGGTGGGGAAAATAGTGCAGCGGAAATGAAGTAGTCTCTGGCGAGATGCAGCGCCTTACAACTTCACGCCATTCTTTGTGCCAGTATGTAGATATAAAAAATTGCTCCCCACAGAGAGATCTTCAAAGTTACAATCCATGAGCCACTTCAAACATGATCCCTCATGACAATTCCGATTCCGCTTGATTCTGTTCTTTACATATGTTTTGCAAGAAATCGGATCAAGCCATAACTCATGTTTGGTAGAAAAAGGGAGATAGAACAATGAAATTTACGTGTAACAACTGAACCCGTGTCCACTGATGGCAGCGCTGAACGGGCAGTTGATAACGAGTACACGTAAATCAAAACTTGAGGATACACTGTTTAGCACCGGTCAGCCTTCGGAGGTCAGAGGAGCGCGCGAAGACGTTTTTCACAAGGATGAGACAAGAATCCAGAAACATAAGCGTCACATATAAGCAAAAGCCAGGTAAATAAAAAATATTATAACTTAACTGTTTTATTCGTCAAGCAAAGCTACTGATAACCAGAATGAGCAGTATGGTATAAGATGCCGGTGAGTAGAAAGCGCTCACTTCGATGAAAGCACCGAATAGGAGTTAAGCAAGTAATCCGATCTACACCCTTAGAAGCATGTGCAGTCTAGTCTAAGGAGCTTCGTGCGTATTTGGTCGCGGTTATACTTTGAGTGTCCACATGAACAGTGGAAGAGGGCAATATGACAGTACAAGTTTCCCAAGCCGCGCTCATGGACGAAAAATTATGGGTCAGGTAAACGGAACCAGACAAAAAAGACCGACGAACCGTATGTCCCCGTGTCGACATAAACAATGACCTGTCATTTTAAATGCCGATAATTTTGGGGTATAGACGACAACATGAACGATGATTTACTGTAGGTGAAGAAGCTTGCGATGTGTGGTCTAGTGAGAACTTACATATGCTTAACTAAAGAAGACAACTGGTACTTTCACTGAAAAGAAGCCACGTGTTCATTTTCACGTGTTCTTGTAACAATGGTTCTGCTCTGCATCCTTTTACAAAACAAATATGTCAGTTAGTAAACTCAAGGATTTTGTCTCGGAAGTCGAACTGTGGTTATTGTAATCGGAGAGAGTAAAGGTTCCGGTAACATTCCAGCCGGGTATTTTGCGCAGCCAACTTGGTTAGTGGTCCTAAGGTCAACAATGCAGACAGATTTCCAGGGGGAGGCAGCAAAAGTGGTTTAGCGTTCCCATGAAGCTGTTATCTCATCGTGAGTTCAATCTGTAGACTTCGACGCAGGCAGCAGGAGATGGAATATGCAAGGTTTCCGCTGCGTGGTATCGAGTGCGCGCTTCTAACAGGGTTGCTAAGTCTAGGTGGCATGATCCATATTGGACTTCGGGTAAGTGTAAAGCAGAGGAATCAAACCACTGAACTTCCTGTGAAAGAGAACGACGTGTTGGGTCCAACTTCTAGACACCTACACGAAGGGTTCCGAGCAGCCGAGGTTGTTTGTATTAGTACCCATGGGAGACTATTACCAAATGTGATTAGTACTAATTGCTCGAAACGTCTTTAAACTACTCAGCACACCAATCAGTTATGATCTAACATCACAGATCACCATAAAGGTGATCCAACGGTTATGTGATAAGTATCTAAGACAATGTCTGCATCGGATGAGGTCGCGCATCACAGTAGCAACAAAAACGAACCAATATACATGAGGTCAAAAAGTTAGCCGAAGCAAACAAATTCAGCCAGTGCGGAACACGGTGATAGAATGAATGCAGACAGCGTAAGGTGACTTGCATGTTATGTAGAAATTGAAGTTAGGATTAACCGCGCAGGTTTGCTACCAATCATCATGCCATGAGAAGGCATCCACAGAATGTCATCGTCAAGGTATGATCCGTGCGCACTCATTGCAATGCATGTCCCCCATCACTAGTGGTTAATGCAGTCGCGATCAATAGGTACCGTGCAACGTTAGGTATGACCCTCATGTTCTAACGCGTGACCACTTTTTGATGAAGTATGATAGAGTCTACCACAGCAAACGCAGTGAACTGACGTAGTCACGAGGAAAAAGGTTGCACGGCTAACCTGAACAGTTCTGGAGATGATTTGATGATATCACAACATTTGTCTTTGCATGTGTCAGAGCCAGGGGATGGTGACCGCAAGCTACGTAAGTTTGAAAAACCAGACAGGGTCATAACCACTCGCCGCCTCTAATATAGTGGCGCCATCGGGCAGTTTGTGATTGGTGTCAAAAGACTGTGGTGGGCCAAACGTTTTGGTCCCAAACTGGTCATACATCCGAGTAATCAGATGACCGGAATAGAGCAGTCAGGTAAACGATGATAAGACGGTAGAACCCGCCACAGCTGTCCAGCATGTGTCAAGTCGTGTCATGGTAACCACGATGCGCGAAGTTCGGATTTACCGCGAATTTGAGAGTCACATACAGTTGGGTAAAAGTTAACAGAGAGGACCAGGTCATCCAGGAAGACATCGAGCGAATATTCAATGTACTGTGTGTAGGCATGTGGGATAGAGGTAAGAAGGAAAGGAAGACATCCACAAACCGTCCTGTAGTGAGTTCAATGGGAGCAACAAGCAATATCGGTGGCATTGATCAGTGCCACCGTTAATGTCATAGATTCAGTCCAACAGATCTGAGGGAGGTGGGTGGCGTGAGGGACAAATATACAACACTGACAGGAGGCAGACACGGGGAATGGCGTCACGCGGATGTACGTGGAGTGGAAAACGGTGACACATACGGCAAGTAGTCTCTGTTTAATTTGTCTTCTCGACCGTACCGGCATAGATTTATGAGGCGTCGTGGGGGTTGCGAGGGGTGTGAATCAAAATGCGTCGCGAATTTCTCGCAAATGTCGTACGCTGTAATCATAGGGAAGTTGAAATTCTACATCAGTTAATCGCTTGAGTGACTGAAGAGCATCGTCGAAACCTGAGATGAAAGAGAGAAAGCCGAACCGTAAGTTTAAGTGCTGTATCAACTCCGATTTAAGGTTATAGAAAGAGGGGGTAATCAAAATCACAGACAAGGTATGTCTCGGTATCCGCCGCAAACGGTAACAACATCAACGAATGGTGGCGTTGCAAGCAGCAGCGGCGGAATAAAATCTATCATTAAGTGAGTGCAACACACAGAAGTCGAAAAAATGCCTCAAGCTAATTGTTAACGCGAAAAGCAGACGTTACGACTAGACAAAGAAAGACAGAAAACGCTTTTATGGTCGAGTGCGCGATACATTGCAGAGTGGAGGCGATTCCCAGACCAGGAGAACGTCATTGTTAGAATAACGCACTAAATCCACGTAGTTCTATGCGCTGGGAATGTGATGATCCACGCTTAGAGTAAACAGCTCCTCAGAGATGAAAGCGGTCAAGGTAACCCTCAGACACTCTTAGCTGAGAGAGAAGCGGGATGGCAAGATGGCGCTCTTTCGAATAACGTCTTGGCACAATGAGTGATGCTAAAGTAGGGAAGAAGTTACGTCAGTCAGTAACCGTCAATTATCTGACATGTGTTACGTAATCGATGATGGTCAGTATCGCGCCACTTCTTATACTGTTAGTAGGCCAGTATAAAACAAAGAAGCAATGGAGCGCAAAAAACGCTAATGTGGTGGAAACGGCGAAAACTTTAAACAAATACACTTCACATAAAATGGCAAACAAAGATACTATTACGCAGTCGTGTTCATTCGTTCATTCATTATACACGTCAGTTAGGGGTAGGAAACACCTGAGCTACCGTGCCGCAATACATAAAGGAAAAGGAAAATAAATACAAAAGTTGCATGCCAGCTGAACTACCAGCAACGGATAGGCATTGTTCCGGTAAGCTACCAGCCGGTTACTAGGCAAAAAGAAAAGTTAATATGCTTTACGTCATGGAATGAGATAGTAGATGGAGGAGGAGGCTAAAAGGGATGGGGGGGGGCAAAGAAACTCACAGTAGGAACATCACTGAGGTCGGCCTCTGGCCATGTCAGCAAGTACATCCAGCCAAACGTATTCACCATCTTTTAGACCCCAACCAGGAAGCCGTGACGCTCCAACCGAGGCCAGCTCAGAAGTGAGGGCCTTCATTCCTCTCGACCAAGTCATCGCTTGGCCACCCCTTCCATCTACATCCCCGTTGAGCAAACAACACACGTAGTGGAAGTCGGTGGGCTGGCATGCGTAACACGTGACCCAACCATCGGAGCCTAGTGCGTGAAATGACGGTGCTGAGCGGTTCAGTTCCTTTTCCTGTGCCGTAAACAAGGCGTCGAACACGCTCGTTACTCACGCGGTGTTCCCACCAGATGTGAGCCAAATTGCGAAGGCACCGATGGTCGAACGTAACTAGCCTCTTCATGTCCGCCGATCTTAGAGGCCAGGTTTCGCAACCGTACAGTAAGGTCGAACGTACCGCTGCATTGTACACTCTACCCTTCAGGGCGAGAGTAATGTCGCGCCGCAGCCATAGGTGGTGAAGGTTAGCAAAAGCACTTCGAGCTTTCGCTATACGGTTCGTGATCTCGTCTTCGATCCCAAGCGCGCTGATACAACTTCCCAGGTAATTGAATTTCTGAACGACTTCTAGCTGATCCCCACCAAGGGTCAGCACAGGGTGCGTACCCTGCCAATCCTGGAGGAACGCTTTGCACTTCGGTGGTGCAAAGCAAAGCCCGAAGCGACTGACAGCCAGTGCTAATCTGTCCAGCGCGGCTTGACACGTCTGGGAGCTGTCACAGATGAGGGCAATGTCGTCTGCATACTCTAAGTCAAGAAGTCGTTCTGGAGATATTGAAGGGTGGCGACAGCCTGCTGTAAGCCCTTACTCTGCCCGTGCTACGCGCATATAATGCTTGGATAATATTTACATATTTCTCGGGCACACCTTTCCTGAGTAGACAATTCCAAAGGGCACATCGATCAACCGAATCGAATGCACCTTTGATGTCGAGAAACACAATTACGGTGGGCCTCCAACATGTGTGACGGTGCTCCAACAACTGACGCAATGTGAAGATGTGGTCGATGCAGCCACGACCCCGACGAAACCCGGCTTGCTCCTCACGAAGCTGGCTTTCACGAGCGTCAGTTAGTCTGTGAAGGATTATGGAGGCGAGTAATTTGGAGGCGGTGGATATCAGACTGATTCCTTTATGATTGCCGCATTCCGAACGCGAGCCGCCTTTGAAGATGGGAACAATAACGGAGCGGCTCCAGTCGGTTGGGACAGTCTCTTGCTCCCGCAGTTTCATTAGTAATTCATGTAAAGCATAAACAAGAGTAGAGCCGCCGAATTTGAAGAGGGCTGGAGGAAGATCATTTGGTCCCGCGGCTTTGTTCAACTTCAACAGTCCGATATCACATTCGATTTCTAAGCGAGAGGGTGGATCAAAAGGGACAGCCCACAGAGCAGGGCGATCATTGGCCGGCGAAGAATCCAACAATTCTAGCCGATTAAATTGCTTTCCAAAATGGTCAGTCCAACGCTCCAAACGTTTCGATAAGTTGTGGATAGGCTGTCCACTCTCGTCACAAATTGTTTCACTAACACCAGGTCTCCCGCTGCCCGTTTCCCGTATCAGACAGAATAACTTACGATGGTTGCCAAAGGCAGCGGCCACTTCCATGTCTGACGCATGATGACACCACCAAGATTCGCGGTCTCTCTTCAGGCTAGCACGGAATTTTGCCCGGAGCTCTTTGCGAGTTTCATTGTGTTCGCTTCCAGCCGGGATATGCCGGCGAACGTCGATAAGTTCCAGAGACCGCGAAGAGAATCAATATCCATGTTGACTACTAGACATACCACATGAGGATTTGCCTGCTGCTAGTAAGGTCAGGCGAACATGTGACCAGTGACCACCAACTGTCTCAACTCCCATGCCAGCGTACTTCGATACGCATTCAGAACAGCTGGCTTTGTCAGTTGACTGGTGTCAATGCGCTCACAGTGTTGTCGTGGGCGTCCGCCAAAACGCATCCGCATGTCAGCACATACAATTGCATGATCGGTGTCCACACATATGCTCCAAATCGAGCGACAATTCTGGATGCAGCCTCTCCAGCGGTAACTTATCGCAATGTGATCGATCTGCGTCCAAGGCTGGTTCGAGGCTGGTGGGCGCCAAGTCACCCTTCGGCGCGTGCTGTGTCTGAAATTAGTGCTCGCAAGAAATAAGCGGGCATCTTCACACAAATGAAGTAACCGCTCACCGTTTTCATTACGGGAGCCTATACCGTGCTGACCGCCCAGATGCATTTCATCAGTGAACGACTTTCTAACTTGAGCGCTCAGATCCCAGCCAGCATTACAGTGTCCGTGCGTATTCTGTGGCGAAGAAGCTGGGTCAGTTGGCGTTAGAAGTCGTTCTTTACCGAATCATCGCTACAGTTTGTGGGCGCGTGGGTAACGATGATGAACAGACACCTATTAGTCCCGCGCGACTTCGAATCTTTGAACGAGCCAGCCAATCGGACCGCACACATCCGGCTAATGGTTGGAATCCAATCAACCAGAGCAGCTTCAGTCGGGGGACTCAGGGCAATGCCAACACCAGCTTGGCCGGTGCTCGAAGCTGCATCGTCACCGGATAGGCGCAATGAGAAACTACTGCTTGCGTCACCTGAAGGGGATCGCAGAGTGAGCACAGAGCTGGAGTTTTGCAGGCGGGTCTCTGGTAAGCAGCAGATATCGATCGAGAGCGTCTCCAATGTTCGGGCAAGTGCTGCTTGTTGACTGATCCGTAGTAATGTGCGTACATTGAAGCATGCCAAACTGAAGGAGGATCGAGGGCTCCAAACGGAAGCCGAGGAACTGGGCTTGGCCGTTTGATTGGACATAGGCTTGTCGACAGGAGAGGAGTGACACTCCACGTTAGTATGTGAGCTGAAATTAGAAATGCCTAGCAAAGCAAGTTAGGGGAGGGCCAAGAATCGGGGTTTGAAAACTGGGAGATATAAGTGAAGTTGTAACGGGATAGTAAGAGTGGAAAAGCGTAAGAGAGGGAATAAGAAGACGGGAAGGCTTAAGCAGTAGCATCCAAACCCCTATCCAACCTGATCGATGCAGCAGATAGGGCACCGTTGATTATCCTCTGCGGTGGCCAGAGCATCAAGAAATTGTTTTCGGATGATTCATAGTATTGCGTGGGCAGGATACTGTCACGTTGTCCAGGTCTAGGCAGGAGAACGATTAGGGTTCTCAACCAAAGTCTTTGATTAAAAAACCTGTCCGCAAGGCAGCGGGTTTGACGCTGGGGTACAAGAAGTCCATTTTAAGGAATAAGGTGCCACACTCATTCCAACCTCCAACCTGGAGACCAGGAGGCTGAGTTTGTCTGGCCTCTAACCATTAATCAATCTGGTATGAGTGACTCTGAAGTTACAAAAGCACCACCCAGCATAGCTCAATGGATCGTTGAGGCACACAAACCATCGCACCACGGTAAGGTCAAGCCTCATTGCGATGGCGCAGTCGTGTTAACATATGTCAGCTAAGTGGGTACGGAAGCAAAAGATGATAATGGGGTGATACAGTGCGACTACTGTTGGGGACTATGCTAGGTGTCAGCAATCCTAAATCGGGAATCTGGACAGACGTGTAAACACGAGCTTCATGGTGACGGTATTCGTCTGGCATCAGCAGAACGTGGATTGTTCGGTGCTTCACGCAAATACACGGCTCGAAATCATAAAAGCGCTGTGTGTGGGGACTAGCAGATCGATTCCAACAAAAGAGGTTCCATCTACCGAGGTCCGCAGGAGATTACAGTATCCGACGGCACACGTTCCTGCAACGAGTTGAATAAGCAGACAGTAACCAAGACATTAATTCCATTAAAAACTAACATTCCGCAGGGGTACAAACTGCTCGAGATGCTCAGAAGTTTAGTGCTTAGCCATCAGAGAAAAAGTTTCACGATAATAGGGCATAGAACGAGGGTAGATAGAACTGTAAGCGCTAGCTACGCAATGAAAAATGTGCTTTGTAGAGTTGCTTGTGATCCAATCTCCGTGTTAGTCGTGTCATCCAAGTGTGCACACTGGACTCATGTTGAGAATTACTGAGGGTAAAATGTTGCAAGCAGGTATTTAAGAGAACCACTAGTATCAGGGTTAAAAACAGAGGTTAAAATGATTTACGTGCAACACAGTGCTACTAAAGACGTTTGCGAAGTAAATTACTGTCGCCTCTTATCTACAAATGAGGTCATAGGTGAAGGGCAAGTTTAGGCCCCTTACATATGGTATCCGTCGCAGTCCAAAGGAAAAAGTGAACCTGAGCAATTTCGTCTGCTGCAGACTGAGGAGCTGAATTCTGACAAGAGACTAAGTAGTGTGCCTAGTGCGCCTGAACTACCGAAGTAGACCGGCATTTAAGTGGTTCACAAAAATTTTACCCAAACCGCTCCATAGCATATTTCATCAATAGAATCGAAGGTAGTTTTAACGCACTGGTGATACGGATAGGGAAAGTTATTATATGCCAAGCTTTCAAGTCACTTCAGATAAGCAGCTACCTTCCAAGAGGTAAAGTGAATTGGATGCAAGTGCCACAACTTGCATCGATGGGATAACAATGGAGAACAATCATGGTGGAAGAAATGAGACGAAAAGTAGTGTGGAATAGAAAGAAGGGGCGGGGAGAAAGACATCTAAAGTTAGCCAGCTTGGAAAATTAATAGATAGACGGAAGAAAACGAATACGAGAGTTCCATTGAGTCCGCGTCTACTCCATACTGGGAAACAATGCTGCGGCCGATCTGAGTAACGTAATTAATAAATTTCTCCATGCACTATCGGCTAATCACACTCCGGGGTTCCACGGAACTGGGAGCGGAAACGAGTGATTATGCATCAGCATGTGCAACAGGGACAAAATTTGGTCAATGTGAGCGATACGGGTACACTAGGGCCTTCAGAGCTCATAATAAGGCATATTTCCAAACCAATTAGTGGACTTCGGTAATACTTAACCGGTGCCGCTACCGCGCGGCCAACACAAACAGGCTATATCGTAACGGACTGAGTATGGTTTAAGCACTCAAACACAGTCTTTGTACTTGGCGTGATGGGGCCGCCACTCACCTTTCCTCCCCCAGCAGAAGACTAATACTAGAGTATGGCTCGCCCTCCTACTGTTCAATCACACGATGCGGGGCACAGAAGATCGAACGAGTCTAACACGTCGCTACCAGTCGCATTGCTAACCCATAACGACTGCCGGTGGGAGAAACTAAGCAAATACACCATATGCTATCATCAGCTGTAAACACACATCGAAACAGACCGCATGTTACATTTCTGTGAGTTGCATATGGTAAGGTCACTTCTTGACGTGTGAACGCCAAGCACCCAATGAGGACATCTGTACAAGCTTGTGGTGCCGGGCATAGAGCCAGCTCACACTCCTGTGCTTTGAATGAGGGTGGTAAATGTTTGTAAGTCTGCCAGAACACATTGTGAAGGCCCAATCTGTGTAGCAATTCAAAACGTTGTTGGATTCCCATTGGAACGAAATCAGATGAAGAGAACGACTACACAATGGCAACGACCTCTTACATTTGTGAGCCCAATGATACCATAAGTAAGACATTTTTAAATGTTAGTTAAGTAATTGAAGGACAATTGGAGTATCAACAGGTGATATTTAAGAGCATATTCCGATGGAGTTGTACGGATTTAAATATATGCTTGCTTCCACAATACAGTATCAGTAATAATCCGAAAGCTTCCAATGTTACATACGAGAAGATTCGCAAAGCATACAGTAAGAAACAGCCGAGTGTCAGTGGCCACGATGCAAATTCTCCCCTTAACTAATAAGTGTATATACCGTGATATCCACAGGAGACTAAGACTTTGGAAAGCTCCATGATCCATAGCAGTATGTGCAGAAGTGTATCGGTGAGTTAATGACAAAGATTATGTGAGCCGATCGATCAATTCGAGCGGTCATTCGTTAATGGTTCGAGTCAGTGGTGTGGTGACAGCTTAGAAACTACCAGGCGAATTAAAGCTCAAGATTACTCTCAAAGCAACTGTCCGTATACAGCGACGGGAAACGCTTTGCTCCGCGGTTCGAGATGCATGATCGTGTGAAACGTTGTGTTCTCAACCTGACACAGTACGGAAGATAAGAAGTGAATTACCGCTCAAGGAAAACTACCCAAACCTCTCCCTGGGAATCTTCTAGTCCACGGATCGAGCTATATGGTTGAGGGATACATCGCTCTATGGGTGGCGTGATGGCCAAGTCCTACAATTCGGAGATTCAAAACATTTGGTGACGTGTGGCATCACGTCGTGACAAGGTGATCAGAAGCGCTTGTACAAAGACTCGGCTCCACACAAAGAGAACCATCTCCTCAATGGACCGCTAAGCGCAATCCAAATACAAGTAGCTGACAGGACGTAGCTACTTGAGGTTATTTCCATCGGACAGTTTAATGGGAAAGTGGACATGTGCTATACGTGGGGAACCACATAGCAGTATAAAACTAAACTGATAGTTCTCACAGATCCCCAGCACCACAAGCTGGCATGATCAACTGAGTCGAAGGCGCATACATGTAAACGAAAATTACGGTGATGGGTAGTCTGCATGCCAACCGCTGTTCTAGCCCTGATAAATATGTGCTTAGTGCGAAGGATGCAAACATGCATGCTTTGAGTAGCCACGAGAGTCGACTGCCTAGCGAAGCAACTATTTAGATTGATGTAAGTGATGTCGCAGGTGATGATCAGGAGAACGAACACACGCAAGGACAATCAAGTATCAATACATAAACTGACTATATCATCGGATGACGGGCGCGGACAACAAGTCCCGAGAGACTAAGCTCCGGATCGCGTAGCAATAATCAGCGTCACAAAAAAGAAGGAACGAATCTTCGTTCGCCACGTTGGATGTGTATGATGCAGTTTTTTTTACAAAGGAGATCAATATCAGGTATTTAACATGCGAGTGAAGTGGAATGGAATTACGAGCAGTTCAGGCACATACCAGTGGATAGGGCATAGCTCCACGGTTGGTAAATTGCTGTGACAAGTGGTTGGCATTTGAACACCAAGCGTAACCAAGAGGCCAGTTTTCCTTCGCTAAGAATAGAATCAGAAATCAAGTTACCAGATGGCGCAAACGTTGTGGAGTTAAGAAAATAGTACGAAATATTAATGAAAATGTTACAAAAGCGAAAGTCGTATTATGCGCAGATACGGCGTGACAGGTTAAAGTAGAAAATCGGCTACAAATATCTTGGGTACAAAATCAAAGCGTTCGGAGGTGGATAAGAGGCCCTTTTGTAGACACTGAACACGGTGCTGGCAGTGGGACCGGCGGCGTCAAAACAATCCATTTGTAGTGGGTTCACGCAGCCAGAAAAATTAACATTCATCAACAAGCACCTAATGTGCTGGCTATATTAAGTAGGTACAGCCTAAACAAGTGTGACGAACGCAGTGCTGAGGCAGACGAGCTGGATAGGACTCAACTGGCAGTGGCTTCCGGTCCAGATAAAAAATCCCGCCTGCAGGTCTACGATAACTGCTGACGGGTGCATAAACCTAGGAGACTTATGGTTACGCAACAACAAACATTTGGGTGAGAGTACTCTTCGGTGGGCTGTGTGAAGATGACAATCAAGGTATCAGCAGTACACCAACACTTCACAGTGGCGCTACGGGCAGCCACAAACAGATGTAAGCTGATTGGGATGCTGACGGAGCACCAAAAAGAAGGCAGGAGACGAAACTCTAACTTCGGGTCGAAGACCCGGTACCCGAGCCAATACACTACAGGTTCGCACGGGCGACGGAGTCTGACGCTAGTGAATGTTAAAAAAATCGATTAACTGATGCTGGAGAGTAAACGATAGCGTAAACGATTTTTGATGAATGAAAAGGCTAAAATGTATGCTGATTTCTGGATGCCGCCAAACGTGTGGTGTTCAGTGAATAGTTAGAAGCTCCAAGCTCAGTGGGAAATGTGCACCGCCAGTTTCTTACAGTACGGGTCATGATACCTAAGGAAAGTCCGCTGCAACGATACCAAACTAAGGCATCGTAAAAAGCAAGGAGTATAGCCGATACACAGCGTCTGGTGAGCCTAGATCGGAGCACCGTTGCAGTGGATTCAGCTGTAACGATCCCAGTGTAAATGATAATTAGAGTGACATTACATGAGGGAAATAAAGGAGTAAACCCTAACAAATATGCGAAGAAACATAAATACACAAAAACTCGTAAATTGTTTGATCACAAAGTTAATTAACACAGACGGAAAATCGGATTATTGAGATATCTACTGCACCCGATCGAACAAAGATGACCACATCTAGGGAGACAGTGTGCACCGACCAGTAGAAATCATGCAACAACTCAACGCCCTAATTCATATCTCAGCCCATTTTTTGGCATCCAATTAGCCAGGTGGATTTTTGGCGAAGGACAAACCTCGCTTGACACGGGCGGTAACAAACCATTCAGAAAGAATTGTGCTCCCTAGAAGTAGAGAAAACCTGGAGCGCTCGCAGTTAACCGATGTTTCCCAAGTTTGGTTATGAGAGAAGAGAGCCACCGATTCCTTGAAAAGCACCGCTGGTGAGTTGGAGGGTCAATTTTGGACAACATGTGTGATTGGATTGCGACGCGCAATCTCACTGTAGACCGCGAAGTGAATCTTGGTCCCTATTATCACTGGGACTGCAGCTGTGACCCGGTAGCCAAAGGGGTAGAGGTTTTGGCTGCTATTCCAATGGTCGCGGGTTCGAGAACTGCGATCTCCACCTGACGAGATGAAATTACATCGAAAAGCGTTGTGGTTATGCAGTGTTTTAGGGCGGGCAAAACCCAATTTCCACCGTTGTTGAGATCGAGCACATAGCTATTCTGACTATCGACTGTCTACTGACACAGACCCTGAGAGTGCTGGGAAAACACTACTCGAGACAGCGCAATGTAGCGCCTATCGACGAAAACAGAGCAAGATACAATGATATTTACGATCAACTTTCTGGTGAACATTTACTAACTGAAAGCTCATAGTTAGGCGAAAGAAATGGTGGCTTGTCGCGAGAAGACTGCGTTGGGAGCCGACTGCCCTATCTGCATAGCGAAGGGGTGCGTCGAAGTGAGGAAACACATGAGTTAGCATAAAGCTCGATCTATACATGAACCGGCATGCGGCACACCTTTTTGGACTCAGGGGTAGTGAAGTAGACCCACAAGAAAAACGAGCTAGGATCAGAACAATAATCGAGTACCAAAATCTGCAATTCAGGTGAATCCGGAGAGAACGAAGTCGTTGCCCAGTTTCATAAGTCAACATTAGGAGGTTATCCCAGTTGGTGAACCACAAGGACGGAGCGGACATATGTAATGATGATCAACAACGTCACATGGCAACACGATAACGTCGAGACTTGGTGAATACGTTTCTTGAACGAATAACGAAATAACGGTGTATACGAAACTGTGGGCACTGCATTTTAACGCTAGGTAGCACACAAATAAAAATTCAGTGAACATTGAACACGCGCCTTGTGTGTTACACGAATGCGATTACCAGTTACATGGGTTGCGAAACTGAGTACGAGAAACGCAGTTTAAAAGCGAATGGAGAGGAAGCAAGACCAATCCGCAGGTTATCCAACATATCTCAGATTGCGGGCGGAAGGTGGGAACACCACAAGAAGGACAGTGGGCATATGTCATTAGGATAAGAGGTGCTTCAATCACCAGAGGCGAGCTAAGTGAAGTGTAAACCGACGAGGACTTGATAAACTATGGCATGCTGACTTGTACATGTGAAGCTCACACACACAGAGAAAAGATAAGGAAGGAATCACTAGACTTGAGAATGGCATGCACCTGCATATTCACTGAGTGTGAATGAGTGTTGGAATTTCGAAAGTTTACTCGGGGCATATCGAAACATTGTATAGGTTAAATGAATGAATAGATATAAGTAAAAATGAAAACCCGCTAATGTTGCAGCAGTCAGAACCCGTTGCAACCAACTAAGAGCGCTCAGAGCTGCTTCATCCATGTTTTTCGTTCAAGTGAGTTGCACAGAGGACAGTCAGAGTACCAAGCTGAACATTAGCAATTCGTTCTGCACTTTAATTCACCTCAAGTGTTACTGAGTGCAACAGCCGGTAGGACAGAGATGCAAATCCTATAGTGTGTACTTCCAGGCGAAAGACCGAAGAACAACACTGCGGTAAAGTTCAAAAGTTCCCTTGCCAATTCATGGTTCCAAGAAAATAATGTAAAAGCGAAGCGAGTACACTACCAAGAACCTAATTGAACATACTTGAGAGCGACACAAACGAAGGCTTTGAACTTGGCATCATCTGACCTCTTGTACGCCGAATGCGATTCCAATACGATGCCCATAGCATTGAAGAAGCGCTGCAACATATGCACAAGGCAGAGGTTTGGAAGTTGCGAAACTGTCAGATGAATGCGTAAACGGCCAAACACACTGAAAGCATGTTGACGGGAATCGGAAGACGACACTGCATTGTAGAAGACTCACTTGTCTAACAGTGACTGGCTTTCCAGCGTATGAATCAAGATCAAAGCTTTCAGACAGTCGGCGAGCTGGCGATTGGTTGTATAGTGGCCCATTCTGTAATACAATTAAGGGAGTAAGAATAAGAAAGGAGGGCCTTAGCCAAGCACACGGACGCGGTCAGAAAATTCAGGACGCTGCATACTGCACTGTAACGTAATTAAGTTTCGCGATCTATCACACGGCAAGCAAGGATGTATTGACAAAAATGGAGGTTTGGTTCACAAGATTCTGACGGACCGGCGGTGCGGTCCCGCCGATTCAGTATGTAAAGGATGGTCTACTTGCAATGAGACAGTAGTGTAAAAGATTACAAAACAAACTACAACATTGAGAAGACAACGATTTGTTTGGCTGATGCATTGGTGATACTGTGGTGCGCTACTAATGAGTAGCATGGTGATACAAGCAAATGCGATGAGCTCAGCGAATACTGGAGCACCGCGGACGATGGACGAGTAGTGCACGATTCAGCTAGTCCTGAAAATAGATGGCGTGGAGCGTTGATCCTATACCGTATCGTCACGACAAGCTAAGCTGATAGCACAAGGCGCAACGCGGAATCAAATGGCACCAAGAATGATGTACGCAAATGTGTCCATGTATACGTTCGTTCGCTAATACATAACTCGCTCGCACCGCACCGCTTTATGCACATTGGTGCCGTGACCAGCCAGGCATGGAAGATGAAGATCCCGTGGCCGGAACCATTTGAGGATGGCGATCTATGGAAATTCCTGGAGGACTTCTAAGATGTCACGGAAGTAGTCGGGCTAAAGCAGGTTGCGCTTCGGATTACACTCAACGGACGGACGAAGGCGATCTAGAGCCGGCAAGAAGCCCAGTCAAGTTGGAATGGGCCGCCGCGAAGGAGGCGCTGATCGCAGGGTTTGACAGGCGTCCGACCGCTTGGGCTAGGAGCGGATCCGATAGTGTTTGCGCTCGATCTCGGCAGCTTGTTGGATCGGGCACTGCCACATTTGCATGACGCGTCAAGACACCAACTGTTAGTGGAGCAGTTTCTGTGTAACCTACCTCCAACAATGGCGGATCGATTGCGGATTGTGAACGCCACCCAGAGAACGGGCGTGGTGAAACTTGCGCGAGTGGCCAGTGAGTTGGTACAGGAGCCAGTAGCAGCATGGCGAATCGAAGAGCGAAAAGATAGGGAACGATTGGAAAGGTTAGATGAGAAGTTGGAGCAGATTACGCGACATCGGAGTACTTCGAATTGCCCGTCAGAGGACGCGGCAAAGTGGGCGTTGCTTCTTTTGTGGGTAACTGGGACATTGGAAGTGGTAATGCCCATCAAGGGGCACTACACTTCTCGTAGCAAATAAAAGTTACAAAGTATTTTTTTGTATTGGAGAGTGCACACTTAGGACCATGAATAAAGGTGCGGGTGAAGCGATAGTATAAATGGAGCAACAGAGAGGTGTTTGATCGATACAGAAGCAGCAGTTTCCCTGATCAACCAACGAGATGGAGTGAAAACCCAATCGTGTTCCATGATGCTGAAGGCGGTCAGTGGTTACATTATACGAAAAAGTGATATAGCGGAGCGCTTGGTTCGTATCGGGAGTCATAAATTCAACCATCTCTTCGTCGTGTCGCCGGAGGCGAAACAGACCATTCCGACGGCAGACTTTCTCCAAGAAAATAACGCCATTGTCGAGTTGAAAGGAGGAAAGCTGATGACGGAATACGGGTCTATATCCCTCTCTGGTAGAGAATAATCCCTAGGGTGAGTTCAGTTGTTCCATTTTTGCACACTAGTATGGCCCTGCAATCGCTTGTCGGTAAAAACAAACTTCTCTTCGCGGCTGCCATATCAGCCGAATGGACCCAGAAGAATACCAGTCCACCTGATCGAGGTCAAAAGGCAGGTTCAGATGTTGAATGCGGGTGTAACCGAGGAGGCTTGCAGCCCGTACAACACCTCAGTCGTTTTGGTGAAGACCAACGCAAAATAGGCTTCTCGTGTGGATTTCAGAAGGCTGAAGGAAATCTCGCTGAGTCGTTTCTTGCCGATGCCATCAGTCGCAGACATCTTCGACAAACTGCAAAGATATTCAGAGTAATGGATTACGGATTTGGCTATTAGCAGCTAGTGACCAAACAGGAGGACCGCGAAAACGCGTTTACAGTTGGCGAGAAGTAGTAACAATTTAAAAGGATGCCGTTTGGAGTATCCGGTGCCTCGTTCACTTTCCGGCGTTTGGTGCTCCGCTTGCTGGAATGGTTAGAAAATGTGTAGACAACATCGTGATATACAGTGAATCGGAAGCAGAACACTGCCGTCATTTGGATGCAATGTTGCAAAGGATCGAATAGTCGGGGTTACGGATAAATGGTCCTAAATCTCAAGTAGGGAAAACGTCCGTGACACTGCATGATCACAAGGTGGGTCAGGGCGAGCTGAAGCCGCTGATAGAAAAAGATACTGATAATTCGAGACACCCCAATCCCAACCTCGAAACACAGTCTTACGGTATTTTTAGGCCGCGCCGGATACTACAGTAAATTCGTCAGAAATTTTAACAGCTTAGCCTAACCTTTATACGACCTGTTAGGAGAGGGGAAGAAATTCACGTTGACCCCAGAAGCTCAGTGAGCATTTGATGACATTCAGAAAGAAATGGGAAAGCAGGATCTTACGTTGAAATTGCCGATCGCCGGAGGAACGTTCATAGTGACCAAAGACACAAGTGACGTCGGAACCGGGGCTGTACTGAAGCGAAAACAGAGGACGACTGAATACGCTAGCAAATTATTAACGTCATCGGAACGCCAGTATACAAGAGTAGAGAAGGGGTGTCTGGTAATTGTTTGGGGGCTGGACTAGTGGCGGGCGTACTTACTGGGTCAATGCTTTTCCGTCGAAACAGATCACAAACCATTGGAATGGATCATGTCTTGCAAAGACCCAAGAGGCAAGTTGGTTAGATGGGTGCTGCGCTTACAAGAATACGACTTCACGATAAGCCACATATTAGGGACAGACAATGGAACGGAATATTTTTTATCGCGCCTGAAGAGTGATGACAACTTGCCGAACGTTTCCTTCGATGTCAGTGGTTGAGTGGTGGATCAGGATCCGGGGAGGTTGGCAGCTGAGCAACAAAAGGATAGACTCCTGAACAGGCTGATAACAGCGGGAATGATAAACTAAACTGTGATAACCAAAAGCCAAGGCAAACAATTCGAGCCGTTCGCGCGAGATCTGGAAAACCTGCAAGTCAACGAAGCCGGAATTCTGATGTGGACACAAGGGCGAGGTGTTACCGGGGTGCAGGTAATAAAACCCGAAGTTTTGGAAAAACGGTGGACTCTTGTCACGAGATGGCGCATACCGTATGCACCAGAACATACGATTTGCTTAGGCAGCGAGCTTACTGGCCGGGTATGAAAAAAGACGTCGTGTAGTGTGAGCAGTGATAGCTCTTGAAAGGAGACAATCGAGGAATACCACAACCTATGCTCACGATTCCAGTGTCCGAGATTGGTGTTGTGGTCAATCGACGTGATGGAGCCGTTCCCGTTAACGAGATGGGGCAATCAAAATATAATCATGATGACTGAGCACTTCAGCCGCTGGATTGAAGCCGTGGCAATTCCGAATCAGCGGGCTGGCACTATAACACACGCGGTAAGAGGCACGTGACAACGGACCACGGAATTCCGAAGGATTTATTGAAGGACTAGGGCCCATGTTTTGAAAGGGACGAGTTCCGGACATATCTGGAGAAACTGGGCATCAAGAAGGCACGAACCACTCCCTACAATCCCCAAACAAATGGACTGACGGAGCAGAATAATAGGAGGATTAAAAAATGTCTGGTGGCGAAAGGGGGAGATTGGGAAGTAGCTCTACCACTATTCTTGCTAGCTCACCGGGCGTCCAAACAGGCAAGCACGAGGTAATCCCCATTTCAGTTAATCTACGGCCGCGCGCCCTGAATTCCTGCGGATCTAGTAGTGAGAATGTGGTCGACCTGCCAGTTACCACCGAAAGAAGCACGGAACTACAGGAAGGTAGTGAACCGAAAAATGAAGGCAGCCCAGGCTCGGGTGATGGAGAAATCCCGGGTCAAGATGAGAAAACTTTTCGGAGACTTTCCAATTGGTTCGTAGGTAAAGTACAGAGATCACCATCGAGGGACCAGATGTGGCGCAGACGTAAGTAAACTACTCCCGAAGTGGAAGGGACCATATGACGTGATCGATCGACGAGGTCCCGTACACACCATCGTTCGACAAGGAGATAGGCGGCGAGTTCACGCTAGCGAATTCAGGAAGTGGTACGAGCGAGGAGAGGAAAGTACCGCATACGTGGGGCAATCTTGAAGGTGGGAGAGATCGCGTGCGAGGTTGACGGCCGCGGAGACTTTAGGGGGAGAGTAGTGTGGTGTACTACTAATGAGTAGTATAGTGAAACGAGCAGGAGCGATGAACAGCGAATAATGGATCACGGCGGAGGAGGGGCGCGTAGTGCACGATTCAACTAGCTTGAAAAATGGATGGCGCTAGAGCGTTGAATGTATACCACCACATCGTCACGGCAAGCTGAGTCGATAGCACAAGGCGCAGCGTGGAATCAAGTGGCACCATGAATGATGTACACAAATGAGTCCAATGGTTCTGTTGGGAATGTGTAACCACATATACGTTCATTCTTCTAGACATAACTCGCTCGAACCGTCCCGCTTTCTCCACAACAAGGCAGCAGATAAGCAGCCAGTGCTGAAAGTTTGAGAGGTGCATCACGCGCCTTTGTTGGCTGCATGCAATAAAGATGGTAGAATGGAATACACATAGAGTAAGGGAGGTGCAAGTTTTTGATTAGAAGTGACAGAAGTCGAGACGCAACACAAGTGGTTAGCTCATGCGAGCAGTGGAGTAGCCTGGGCGGGAGGTGGTCCGCTCTAAGCGCATGTGGCAAGGGGAGGCATTTTTAGTAACGTCGTTTATTCGATGCCAAATATAAATACAGTCAAACCGGTCTAAGGCGATCACTCAAGGGACCGACAAAAAGTAGTCGACTTGGTTGGCTTGCC